ACATTGGCCAGTATATTGTTATTGGATTTTCATGTACAAGGTTTCACAACATCAACTGACATAAACCTCGACTGTGCACGTGCGTCAGTGCAACATGTTCGGCTTGATGTCAGCTGTTATAAAGAAGTTGATTGGCTGTTTCAGGGGAAGAGCAAGGACACATGTGTCATGCAGCTGCCATCTTTGGCGCTTAGCCTTAGTCAAGAGTCTTCAAGTGGTTTGTCTCCTTCCTTCCTTGTAACGTCTCTGACTGAGCGACATACTCCTTCATCACAATAAACATGGGCACTGTAGTTTATTTTCAGCCGATCCCACTAACACTGTCCTGCTGTTGTAAATATAGCCCCAAACGTGTATCAATCCAGGGCTGAGAATAGTTACATTTAGTCACAGGGAGGCGATCACTCACACAAGCTCCGCAAACACAGACGAGGCGTTTGGAAATCTCACCTGTAGCTGAACAAAAAGCGACACGTGAAGGAGAACACGAAGAGGATGACGGTGAGGACCAGCTTAAATTTCTCATATTCGTCTTTGTAGGCAAATCTGTTCGGAGGAGCGGAGAGAAACGATATCAATGTGACGGTGCCGTGGCCGCACTTTGAAAGAGGAAAATGAACATCAGTGCCACTTACTTGGACTGTTTGTTGAGGAGTGTTACGTTGACGTTTCCTAAAACAAGAGTGAGGTATAACCTAAACGGGAAGAGGGGGCAGCCAGTCACAATGCTGACATCTTTAACATTAGAATCATTTTGTTTTGTTTTTGAAATGTATTTACTATGCCAGTGTGTTTTCCATGTTTGAAGTGGAAAAAAAAAACAACATACTGACAATTTATCATGAAACTCTTCACAGAATGAAATCATATGACAGAATCAAACCCGTTCTTCTTTGGTAGAAAAGCTTCCATCTCGGTGAAAGCATTAGCTCTGTCTCTGATGGAGTCTTCGATTTCAGCGATGGCATCCACATCGTCTGGACTTAGCTTGGGTGTTGGATGGTTGTTTTTGCATCTAATAATGGAAACACATCGTGACGCAAACACTTGTTGATTTATTTCCTTGCAATTTTACCCAGTCCCCAGCACAGCGGCCACTGTCACTGCCCTAAAGCAGTCTCCCAGACTAACTTTGATTGGTATCATATCGACACTTTAATCTGATCATTTCAACAGTTCTGAATAAGGACTGTCAGTATTTGGAGTATTTTATCTTACCAAAGAGTGCACTTACAACGATAGAGGTGAACACTCTTTTCTGGTAATATGATGCCCCCTATTCGTCTGGAGTATGAATTCAACAGTTGGCCAGTTCTTACTCACTGAACCCTTTAAAGAACTTAAAACATCCAATTAGCATTTCATATACTGCGCTGCTCATCTCATTTTCATGCTGTCAGGTACAGATTGTGAATATCAGTTAGGCTGCTCCTAAAAACTGTTTTGATTCTACCTTCAGTAAAAGGTCAAAGACATCTTTGAGACGTAGTTATTTCAGCCCTTAGGGAACGGGAATCCAAAGGTTTTGAATTTTATGAAATGTTATCAAACTCCATCCTTCCACATAAACGCTGCCAATGGCGTTTACGCAAGACCTCGGCGTCTCTGTGGTGAGTGAAATATGACTGAACTTGCAGTTCCTAGCCAAAATATAGGCTGCTGTTTTTTGAATTAGCTGAAGACGTTTATGAGTGTTCCTGAACACTTACTGCTCTAGCGATGCAGTGAGCTCTTTCAGTCTCTTCCTCTGACGTGCGATGGCACCAGAGCAGCTGTCCTGCAGTTTGGCCACTTCTTCAAGTTTCTGTTTATATAGACGATGGGTGTCCTGAAAGAGGAAAAAAAAGGTTTCCAGAGGAATATATAAAGTTGTGTTTTGCAGTGCCAAAGTTTAATTTTTCATTAATTAACAAATTTGCAAAGGCAGAAGAAGACACAAAAAAGATTCCAGTGAATAATAATGTCCAACAGGTTCACATTTATCTTTTAAGGCTGCAGTAGTTTGGAAAAGGGCTGTCATGTAAATAATCCAAGATTTATTTTTTAATGGTCTTAAATGTGCAAAAAATTGTTTTGTGGTTCTTCAATGAAGAATCAACTAAAATTTTAGTTATTGTTTGTCTTCTGTCATTACTTTAACTTTAATGATACTTTCCCGATTAAATTGTGTCAGTGTATGTTAATTATTTGTCTGTTTACATTTTTAGAGGTGTGACGGCTTTGGTATATTTAAACAGAGGCTTTTTATTTCCCACTAAGCATGTGACTTTCAATGACTTTCACTCAGTGTGCTGCACAGTTAGCTGTGTTTAATCGTGATCATCCACAAGAAGTGGATTCAGGTCTTTTTCAGTTTGTCTTTTATTGTGAAATACAGTGACAGTAATCCCTTCTCGGTGCAGGAGCCTGAATCAGATGGCTCTCCAACCTTTGTCTATTGCCAGGGGAATAATGAAGACCTAAAAATTGTGACAAAAATAATGTTCTGGTGAAAGTTTCAATGATGACAGTGTGTTGATAAAACAGAGCTAAAACATTCTGAGATTTCAGACTGTAGGGACTTTCTTAAATGCATCATAAACACTTCATTACTGATGATAACCCTGATAGACAAGATAAACACATGGGTTTACCTGTTGATGTGGTTATTTATACAGGTGAGGCTGAATATGTGCGGGGCCAAAATTTTTCTGCAACATCATTGCATCAGTAGACACAAACATTTCCCCTTCAGTGGCATCTTTAGAGTAGCAGTTAAATTACAACACGCCACATTTCTACATATAATCCGGTTTAATTCCTCTATGTGTATTATAGAGTCCTGGTTTAAGCCGTTAAATACCAACACAAAGGATGATGTGCTCTTTCGGTTGAGTGGCATTGATTCACATTGAAATCGACTCTACCTTTCCCTTACTTTTTGTTTTTCTCTTGGCTGCCACAGTACAATTATCTTTAGCTGCTGAGGGCGGATCCCACTGTCGCCTGAGTGCCCACCCACTCCAGACTGTTAGCTAAACACGGGCAGGAGCACACTTCCATAGGTAAAACCACAGCTCGACACGCTGTTAAACTTACCTGAATTTGCTGGTAGCCCTTCTCTAAATCATCCCACTCGCGTAAACATTCACTGAAATCCGTCGGACTGAACAACATTTTCTAGCCTGACATCAGGAGACCTCCAGGAGTTGGGCAACACTTAAGATCCGCTGTGTGCAACAGTTGCACCGCTGTCAGTGTCAGAGCTACGCCAGAAAGCGAGAGCAACTTCCTATCAGGGTCTTCAGAATAAAAGCCTCAGTGAGTATTTTGGTGCCCACAGTTGGGTAAAAAAAAACAGCTGTTAAAAAAAAAAAAAAGAAAAAGTTATAGGCTGAGTGTGAACAATCACATTTATCAAGTTACTTTTTAAAGCAATTCTCAAGTGATCACAATGACTGAAAACGTAGAGGAATAGCCCATAAGATAAATAGACCCTACATCTGCTATATTGTATATTTAAAAAATCCTCACTGCTTATATATTTTTTGTGTACTTTATTTATGTAAAATCTTCACATCTACAGGAATAATTAACAAGGGAAATAATCTAATGTGTTTATAATGCATCATTATATAAATAGGGATAAATAATAGGAAATTGGTTGAAATAGGAACAAAATTCTGCAGCAAGACATTCTGCTGGTGATTCTGCTACTTATGTTTATTCCCATTCTTATTTAAAGAGACACTGAAAAAATAGAGGGAATAAAGTAAATACAATTGTACCTTTTCAAATCTTTTAATTTGTTTCCCTTTTCTCAGTGAGGTATTCTGAAATAAATCAATTCTAGACAAGCCATGTGACTTTATGATTGATTATACAGTCAGATCATGTAAATCCATGTTTACTTTATTTTAATTTGATATGTTGTTATAAATCTATTTATATATTTTTCTTTTTTCAGTACTGTAGATGAGCATGCAGCACCTTGACCAGGTCCTACAGATAATTTTACTTTACTAATTCTTTTAATCTGTATATTTGTATATATCTGAAATTAAATAAAGTTCCAGTCTAAAACATTTTAAGAATGGCAATCTTTGAGCTTTTATTTTTAAGGCCACGTAAAGTTTCCGGTTGTATCATCGCTAACGATGGTACCTTTTACAAAACCGCGTGCGTCGTGCTCACTGGACGTGCTAATTTGCAGCTGCGTGGTCCAATCAGACGTCCCGTCAGTGATCTCGCTTGTAGGTCTATAAATTGTTTCCCTGAGTTCAGCCTGGTAGGCAGCACTACCTCTCCTATGAATTCAGCCTCATTAGCCGCGTTTAACCTCAAATTTATGGCCCTGAGCTCAGCCATCTATAACAAGAACAACCATTTGAATGACTCATGTTGTTTGTTCGGTTTCTACATGGAGGGCACTATGTCACCTGCAAGGTGACTTTCAGGGCGATAAATTACTCACTGTCTGCATGTGGCCTATATTTTTAGAGCTGATGTTACGTAACTCCGTAGACATGGGGGAACTGTCATCTCCAGTATTGTTAGCACCTCTCATAGACCCATGTATGGACTCAAGCACAAAATGACATTTAGGACTGTATGAGGCTTGGAGGTTTTGTGAATGCAAAAGAGTACACAAAGGTACAACGATATAAGTATAGAAAGCACTAGGTGACGCTGTCACTTTCTTTGTCCGTTTCTTTTTGTCTCCTTGCATTCTGTATACAGTTCATCCTTGCAAAGTTTTTGAAATGATATCATAAGTAAACAAAACTTAAATTTGGGGAAATGGTTTTAACATCCATGTTCTGTGATTTAAGAGGTAAAAGTGGAGAACAGACCACATGTTGTATTCATACCATATCATGAATTAAAATAATTCTATATGTTACATCATCACATATACTTCATAATATTCTTCCCTCTCAGATGACAGTAAAACCCTTCATAGCTGTGCACTTGAGAAAGGTGTGTTTGTTTTCTGCTGCAGCACACCTTCATTGCTGAACCATCATGCCTGCCAGGAGAATTTTTTCAAAAATATAGACCCATTTCTCGACTTGTCTTTATTTAAGATCATACAATTAAGTACGAGACATGATAATAAATCCCTGTATTGTTGGTGTAACTGAGGTAGCCTTTATTATATTGTTTTCTCCCACACACTGCAATAATGTTTATTAATGAGTGAAATGTGCACTTTAATATAGCTGTTCTCCCCTTTTTAATCTTTAATTACATAGTATGAACGAGGTTTACACCTTATGTCTCCAGTACTATACCCTGTAGGCACTCAGTATTTACAAAAGTACTTAGTCTAATTTATTTCTCCTTTCCTTTGTTCCCCATAGTCGTAACCATGGTAACTATTTTATTGGTACCTAATTCATACAAGAAAATTACACTGTAAATCTCAGGCTGCATTATAAAGTATTACCAGGAAAAAAAAATCTAAAACGATATGTGTTTGATTGTCGAGATGTAACAAGGCTGCATATGTTAATCTTGAAATTCACTCAGCCTTGTAGAGCTGCAGCCTGTTTTAAGAATAAGTCTCTTAATGGAACAACAGAAGAGATGTCCCTGGAATAATAATAATAATAATAATAATAATAATAATGATGATGATGCAATGCGACTGAAATCAGTTGTCTTTACTGAATATGAACTCGTCACATTCCTTTGTTAAAAATGCGGTTCAGACATATCGGTGACTTTTGTTCCCATGGTGTGAAGCTCCCATTCTGACAGCTGCTGTAGAAACCCGGTGTTTGGCCTCATGGTGGGTTTACATTTGAGCATGTACTTCCAGGACTCCTGAAGAGAGTCAAAACAACAGCATTATCTACTCTAAATGTAATAATATTCACATGCTTTCTCTCCATGATCCAAGTCAGTCTCATGTCTCTGTGTTTAAAGAGTAGTTTGATATTTTGGGAAATGTATATTCACTCTCTCTTTCTGAGATTCAGGTGAGAAGATTGATACCACAAAAGGCAAAATATGTAGGTGGAGCCAACATTAAAACCACAACTTGTCGCTTTTAAGTTTAAGATTTTCTACAAATGAAACAGATAAAATACAGTATCTTTATGCTAAGCTGTGCTAATTGCCTAGCTTTCATTACAATCATAAAAGTATAAAAGCAAATACATTTAACTTATCTGCTTGAAGCTCACAATAAGGGGGTTACAGTAACTTTTATATGATAGTGGTATCAATCTTCTCATCAAACTCTCAGCAAGAAAGCAAAAGGACAGAGCTGGAGTCAGGGCATGGTTAACCTAGCTTAGCATAAAGACTGGAAGCAGGGGGAAACAACTAGCTGCGATCTGTCCAAAATTCAAAACTGCTCCAACACCTCTAAAGCATATTTATCAACACACTGTATCTTCTTTGTTTAACACAAGCCTAAAAATGACAACTGGTGGTTTTTGGTTTGGTTCTGTAACTATTTCTTGGTGAACAGTTGCTGGACAGAGTGACAGTGTGCAGCATCACAGGTTGCCAGGTTTGGTACCACCACAGACTTATACCTAAACATGTGCTCACTGACCATATCTACCAAAGTGTACTGTAGCTGAGCACAGTACACAGAAGTTCTGGATGGATGGATAAACTGTTCGTCAAGAAACAGATCCAACATGTAAATCCCCCTTAAACCACAAATTGCTTTTTTTTTAAATACTTATACTAACAAGATACTGAACAATTGCATGTCCAGGGCTTTGAAAACTCATTTCCTGGCTCTTATTCCAGTTTGGAACAAAATCATCATCTTAAGAGTTGAGACTCAGCAGAGCTACATCTGCTTACTTATTACTTATTATCATCTAGAGACATTGTATGGCACATCCTGTTACTGCATTCTGCACACACTGAAACCAAAACCAAATGAACCACACTTACCTCCAGTGTGTATTTGAGGTGGTGCATGAGAAAAGCAATGGTCAGAGCACTGCAGCGGCTTCTGCCCTGCCTGGAAACTATCAGGACACGAGAGCCCATGTTGATGTGTGACCCTGAAAACAAGATAGATTACATAGATTATTATTTCAATGAACAAAAAATCTCTAAACCAAACCAGTCCACATAACACCAGCAATATTAATGGCAAATTTGACAACAAAAAAGGATCTTAATATATATTAAACCATTTCATCAATAAAACTTGTACATAAAACCCCCAAATGACCTCTGACCTGTAAGTTTTTGAGTAAACAGGCACAGATTCAACAGATTCCTTTAATGCACTTTAAAATAAATAAATCATGCAATCTTGTAAGCTTTATTATCTTCATATTTAAATTAATGGAATATCAGAATTTTGTGAATGATGTACTGTTAATATCACATTGTGTGAGATCTTGGAAATGAAGCATATACATGTAGGTGTTACACCCTTCTGCATTTTACATTTATATTTGTATTCTTGACAACTGCAGTTAACAGTGATGTGCAGAAAGCCCCATGACAGTTTTGCAATTCTCATGGGAACATGACACTACAAACATTTGCAAGGATTTAAAACAGCTTATTTAGTAAAGCATAGCGTGACTTACCAATAAAACTACAAATCCTTTCAAAATTTGAATACAAATCAGACTCCACTGAGTCAGCAACAGGGATGTTGAGGATGGTCTGGCTCCATTTTATTGACCTAGATCTGAACAAATCCAAAGGAAATTCAGAACAAACTCAACAGCAAAGACACATGACATCCAGAATTTTCTCTAATTATATTTTAAATATTCAGTCCTGCCTTACTCCAGAGTGTCACTCAGTGAGATGCTGATGACGGCGTTGATTTTCAGGTCTTTGAGGATATTGGAGTCTGTGCCTTGTTTCTGGTCACCCATATACAGCAGTCCTGCTATGACCTCCACTGGATAAGTCTTCAGGTTTTCCAGCTCCTGAGACAACCCAGAAATATATTAAACTGTATTTATCTGCAGCAGTTTGAATCAACTGATATTTTAAGGGAAAAAAATAATTTCATAATGATTGGGATTCATAAGTGCAGCTGGCCTACTAACCTGGAAAAATGGACGAGTGTCCTGGGGCTCTCAAAATCTCATCTTAAACTGTGTGTTACTTGATGATTTTATTAATTGAATATTTGCACAGACAAATGTATTGTGAGAAGTTGTACCCCTAGAGTTTATATCAGTGATGGCAGATTCTAATTTATTACTTGATTTTGTACCAACTGGATGATTGACATGGTGCCTTCACAGACTTAATTATGAGTGTATGACGCTCCAGGTCAGCTGTGTCTGTCTTACCGTGATGGTGTACATAATTTTCTCAGTCCTTAAGAAAGGGTAGAGCGCTGAGAACCTCTGAAAGCCTCCTCTCACAATGTGGACTGGATACAGGCTAGCTTTAGCCAGCACCTCGGCACATTCAACTGCTCTGCCTGCAATCACAGTCAGAACCCAAGTGATAAACATCAGTGTGTTGATATTTGTGGCTGACAGAATGGGAGCGTTTGCTTTTGGGAACTAGGTTTTCAGAGCAGGAAAACTGTGTAAATACAGAAAGTACTTTGTTACATACAGAATAAAACAAGAACCTTTGGCCTTGGCTACACACCATTATGTTGCCCATTAGTGGACTGGTAAATCATCATTTTCAATACTCTCAGAGATGCTTTGGTGGAACATTTCCAGTGCGACACCGTACCTTGCTCCTGCAAACAGCTGGTGTTGCTATCATAGACCACCATGTGCTGCATACTGTCAACCTCCACAGCCACTGGAAGGAGGAATTTGCCTTCTGAATCCTGGAAAGAGTCACCCAGAAAGTTTTGATATTTGAAGCACAAAATAATCTGAGAAAGGATTAGGGAACAAAGAAACTAAGCTGTTATGCAAGGCTTGTCTTTTCATTTCTTAAACTTACATCCTCTAACCACAAATAAAAGCGCAAAGTGTATCCCTTTCCTTAAATATCACACCTTTCAAGAGCAAAACTACTCTACTAAACTACTAATTTTAGCTACTCCATTTCTTTTGGGAACAGATACAGTCTTAACATTTCATTACCATTTGCACCAAGTCGAAGTCGAGGGATGTAGAGTGTGTGATTTAGAAGGTAGTTCAAATGAACAGTTAAGCCACTCTCAATAGTGGCACATAAATCAACATACACTGCATCTGAGTCTGTTCTTTTTAATATAATCAATAAATAACCCTAAATCTTAACAAAATCACAACCTGAGTCAGATGTAGAGTTCATAATCTCTTCCAAATGAAGACAGAAATCATTGAGACACTTCCCAATTTGAGAGGGGGGGTCTCTCAAAAAACTCAGAACAACCCAAAACGGCACATACAGTCTATGTCAATTTACTAATTTTTTTTTTTTTTTTTTTTACAACAGTTAGTTCCTACCAAGTAATTTGACTGGACGAGAGGCATTCCATGAGTGCTGATCTAGAGTACAACAGCACTAGGACTCTTAACTACATGTATCACTCCGCCTCACAGGTGTTCCATCAACCGTTAATTAGTGTTACATTCACAGTCGTTATCTATCTTAGATTATAGCAAACTTTGCAAAGATGAATATATTTCAGAAACAACATTTGAATTAAATGATGTATGATCGTTAGTAGAGGATGAAGGGACGAAGCCTGGATACTTCAGCGCACTCCTGAGGTAACGTGTAAACAAAGTGGCTAGCTAGTGTACACTGTGCAGGCCAGGAAAATATTTATGTGCTGCTTAGCAACAGTCCAGTACCAGTCCAGCTGCGGAACTATTTGTGTTGGCGTTGCCAAATAAATGTTAATATAAACAAACAAATCTTATATAACTAACTAATGTGGCGCTCGTAGAACGGTTGTATAAAACCAATATCACACTCGAGGTCGTGATTTCTAATGAATATCAGCGCGCCAGTGATCCGGAGGCCGCATGCCGAGTACCGTAGACAATCACAGCCGTGCTGATAATCAGTAGCTACAACATCACTCGCTCTCGTGTGATATTGCTTAATTAGCTGAAGTCTAGTCTTTTAATGCAACAGTCTTTGATCCTGTCCATCCCCTCATCCCAAAGCTCATCGTATATCTCAGAACCAATTTCCATTTTCCAATCTTCCCTGAGAGGTGGGCTGTATAACGTTATCTACGAACAGTGGTATTAGATACCACCTGTTGCTCCCTTAATTCATAATGAGTAAGGAAATGACACGTGAGCTGTCTACTTAGGCCTACAAAGATGTACTCTCATACAATTTATTCCCTCATATTTATAATTTAAGTTTGATTTTTCTTACATCGTACAAGATTATCCATCATTTATATCAAGGAAACTAAACATGCTGTTAAGTAGGGTTACTGCATTATCATTACAGCAGAGTTTTTCTATTTAAATTCTTTTGGTTGTACTATATGTAAAACAACCAGTTTCATTGTTATTTCTAAGAGCTAAATTGGTTTGACTGTAACTACAGATACAGGTTTAATTGATATGATTTTTTATATTTAAAGTGCATATATAGCTGACCTCCATTCACTAATATACAGTACAATAATTTTCATACCATTTTGACATTTTTAGCTGTTATGATGTGACTTGTGTTGTAATCTCGGGTTTCACGAGCATCTAAAAAGGAGACATACAATACAAAAGTAAGTTACAGCTAAAGTTTAAAAATGAAAGATTAAATTAAAGCAGAGCAATCAAGCAAACCCAACTCATATCTAACAGTCACACACACTCCAGCACTGACAACCTGTGATAACTAGCTGAGCCGAGTCCTGTCTCTTACCAATCAAACAGAGGTAGTTGATCTCTGCCAGCCTTGACACACACCTGCACTGGTTGAGGAGATTGTAAAGTTTAAGGGGCTCACACATCGTGATACCAGCCATGACAGGAAGAACAATATAAAAACAATGGGCTAGAGATAAACAAATCAAGAACAGCTGAACATTATAATTAGCTTGACTTACATCTACAAATGAGCACGATGTCTAACTCAGTTGCTTTCAAAGTTTGTTTGTATGGGCCCTGTTGCTAAGCAACTCAGTGCCCTCCTTCATTGGTGGTTAGCGATGAAGCAGAGCCTTAAAGTCACAATGACCCATTTCTTGATGAGGAAAATGACACGTTCATTCAAATATAGTGATAAAAAAGTTTGTTATTTAATTTTTTTATTCATTGTTTCATTCCAATGTGCAGATTTTTATTTATCTGAATCGGTTGTACAGAGCTTTTTGGTGGTAAGAAATTCTGTGTCAAATTAAGGCAAAAAATGAAAATAATGTTGCTCCTTCAGCTGGTACAGAGTGGAGCTGCTAGACTTTAAGCAAATTCAGCTAGACAAGATCATATCACCGCTATCTTAATTGGTTACCACTCAGTTATACAGTTAATTAATTTTAACAGTTTTCTGATAATGTTTAAAGGATTTAAAACAAACCACAAGATTCAGTAATGAATAATCTGTGGTTCAAACTCATAAATGGTACAACCAGCAGATATAACGTGATCTTGGGGCTTTTGGGGTCCCTGTGATACAGTTGTCCACTTTTCCTGATTAATCTTGATTCTTTCATGTAAAGCACCTTGTGCCTTTGCTATGAAAGGTACTGTATAAACAAAGTTACTTCTTCTGTGTTTTAATAATAATAATAATAATAATAATAATAATAATAATGTCTTAGAGTAATTATACTCATTTTAAGGTGAGATGTCATCTCTTAATGAAAGAGGAAAGGTTTTTTAAACAAACCAAAAATGTTTCATAATTGCAAAATAAACAAAACACATGACCTTTAATTAAGAACCATCCACTCATAATCTCAATGTCAAACTGTTTATTTTTCAAGATCATTACTGTCAATACTCTGTTTACATGTGTCCATGAGACCAAGAGACTGGAAGTAGACTAAAACATTTTATAATTCAAATTGCAACATGAAAAAAGAAAAAGATGACTCTGCGGTCTAAAGTAAAGATTAATTTGAGTCTCAATTCAATTAAAATTTAGTTACATGGATTATTACTTCTGTTATTCTATTATTAGTGGGATTGCTTTTTCAGAAAAGCAGACAGACAGGCAGAGACACAGATAGACAGACAGAAAGGCAGGAAGGTAGATAGACAGCCAGGCAGACAGACAGGAAAGTAGACATGTAGACAGATAGGTAGACAGACAGACAGACAGACAGGAAAGTAGAAAGACAGGTAGACAGGCAGGCAGGCAGACAGAGAGACTGACACACAGGGAAGCAGATAGACAGACAGGCAGACACAGGCAGACAGACACACAGGGAAGCAGAAAGACAGACACACAGGAAAGCAGATAGGCAGACACAGACAGAAAGACAGGCAGGAGGAAGGGGGAAACAGACTGGCAGGCAGGCAGACTGACAGACAGACACACACACACACACACACACACACACACACACACACACACACATGGGAAAGTAGATAGGCAGACAGAGAGACAGGCAGGCAGACAGACAGGCCAGCAGAAGGACAGACAGACAGACAGACAGACACACTCACACAGAAAGACAGAAAGGCAGACAGGCCAGCAGAAGGACAGACAGACACACTCACACAGACAGACAGACAGACAGACAGACACACACACACACACACACACACACATGGGAAAGTAGATAGGCAGACAGAGAGACAGGCAGGCAGACAGACAGGCCAGCAGAAGGACAGACAGACAGACAGACAGACACACGCACACAGAAAGACAGAAAGGCAGACAGGCCAGCAGAAGGACAGACAGACAGACAGACAGACACACACACACACACACACACACACAGGAAAGTAGATAGACAGACAGACAGAAAGACAGGCAGGCAGACAGACAGAGAGATACTGAGAGACAGAGAGAGAGAGACGGACAGAGAGAGAGAGAGAGCGAGAGACAGACAAACAGACTGAGAGAGAAACTGACAGAGAGAGAGACTGAGAGAGACAGAGAGACACAGACAGAGAGAGACAGACTGAGAGCAGTCCCACCCCAAGTATAATTTTGGTGAAAAAATATAATAGAAGATATAAATAATGTTTTTGAATGTTTTAAATATAAAAAATAAAATATGAAAATAAATAAATAAATAAATAAAATTCTCTTTAAAAACATAAAAAATGTTGAAAAATTGAAGCCAATGTTATGTTGTGGTTGGCCAGACCACATCCTATACTTGTTTCCTATCTCAGTCTGATTCATTCCTAAATGTTCATGATCATTATCATTAAACAAAGCGTGCGCTTAGAACGACTGATATTTTTAGCGGCCCTGGTAT